GCTCCTTTAAATTTTTTCTACCAGAAGCTAACCAAGGAAGTTCCAAATAGTGTTATACCGTCTAATGCTGGATATACATCCAAAAATCTGAATATATACTTCCATAATATGGGTGGAATGCGCACTAAAGCTAAAGAAGTCTTTCTTTGTTCTTCACGTGTGGATTATGACAAATATATCTTTGTGGAAACTTGGTTTAATAGTAATTTCTTCAACGAAGAATACTTTGATTCCAACATTTTCCAGACTTATAGGAAATACCGAGATACTGATAGCCTTAATCTTACACAAATTAATTGCATATTCAATAAGTTATCTAAATTATTAGATCTTGTGTCTGTAGACGAAAATTTGGTATCTAACCTCACTGAATGTAAGACTCCGATATGTTATCCTGATATGCATCATAATCCCCTTATCATTTCTTTGGAGTTTTTTGATAAGCTTCCCTTGAGGCAAAATAATAGGATTTCCTACAATTTTCGTGATGCAGATTACGACGTCTTAACCCTGGCTTTAAAGGACGTAAATAGGTGTGGTATCTTCAATTCAAAAGATGTTAATGCCTCTTATGAAAGTTTTATTTGCATTATGTCTGAATTCTTTTCTGAGCAACTGGCTACTTTACCCATACATTACATATTAGGCCTATTTCGAAACTGTCACTCTGCTCCAAATTATTCGAAAAATTGATACATTTTAAACTCTCTTTTCTTGCCAAAAGAATAATTGAGCACCAACATGGTTTTGTACACTCTAAAAAATTTTTGTTTAAATTTGCGCATATTAAGATAGGTAACCAGTTTCCTCTCTTAATGAATGCAAATTTACACACCGTGTTAATGAAATTAAACACTGCTTGTTTACTCTTACTTATCATATGTGTGGCGTAGAACAAATTTCAAATTTGTTTTTAGAGTTCTAAACATCTACTGTTCACAATTTCACAGTTTACACATAAAATGTTTAAAATTTCCTCTTAAAAATATTTGCTAAAATTTACGCACATAAAGAGAGGTAACCAGTTTTCTCTCTTAGTGTGTGCAAAATTAAACACTGTCTGTTTACTTTTACATACATACCAAATTTGTCACGTAGAGAAAAACTACACACAAAGTGTTTAAAGTTGAGTAAATATGAGCACTTAGCATTAGCGCGCACAAGGGGTAGGTTTTGGGGTTCAATTCTCAAATACAAATTTAGGAGTACCGTTAATTTTTTCATGATTTAATGATCGGATCTAAACCAAATTACGGGACGACCCTTCAGGTACCATCTTTCTGGTAAAAAGAAAAGAATTATTGGAATCGGTTCACGCGGTCCAAAGTGATGCGGTGGCATACATAAAAAAAAAATACTCCGAAGAATTGATAACCTCCCCTTTTTTGAAGCCGGTTGAAAATATTGAGTTCTTTGTAAATTTTATGTAAATAAAACGCAATTTATGAAACTTTAAAAAGTTTATTTATTTATTACATACTATTTATTACATACTATTTAAAGGGCGTATTATTTGAAGCGAATTTTCAGTATTTTCTGATGATATTTAGAAGTATAACTCTTTCGTAGAATAACCTCCTCATCTGATGTTCTTCTTCTTCAGGAAGATTTAGATTGGTGTGAATATAATAAACTGTTTTTGAATGTAAAAAGTGCTTTAGGATGACCTTATCTAAATCTCAAAATATCCTTACTTCAAATTACTACCTCGTAAACCATCAGCTACCTATGTTAGCGAATTTGTTGATCTTGGTGTTGTGTTTGACTCGAATTTTTCATTTATAAATAAAATTTGTCATTTACTTCCAAAAGTGTATAGTAATTTAGCATTTATTTGTAGATATGCCAAAGATTTTATAGACCCTTACACTCGGAAAGCCTTATTTAATTCCCTAGTGCGATCTAAACTTGAGTATGCCTCTATTATATGGAGCCCTATTTATAATTGTCAAGCTTCTAGGATTGAACGAGTTAAAAAGGTGTTTATTCGATTTGCCCTCGCTTCTCTTAACTTCTCAGATCCGATTCCTTCATGTTACTCCCGGTGTAAACTAATAAATTTCCTATCGTTGGAAAATAGAAGGCGTACCCATTTGCTCTCATTCATCTTCGATCTTATCTCTAGCTTCATTGACTGCCCATCTCTTCTTGAGCAGGTTACCTTTAATGTGCCTCTCAGAACTCTTCTTTCTCGCATCCTCTTTTACGTTCCCGCCGTTAAGACTAACTACTCATTTTTTGCGCCTATTTTTCGAGGCCTTGCGGAATTTAACAATATCTCAAAGAGCTTAGATATCGAATTTTCGTTTCTAAGAAGTCTTTTCAAATCATCTCTCGAAACCTATTTTTCGTAAGTTTACACATACTAGTCACTTTTAATACTTTTTAGCCTATTGCTAGTCTGTAAGATTGTAAATCATAGACAGAATAAAGATGAATAATTGAATAATAAATGCAAGGGTAGTAAAGGTGTCGTTTGCTTTGTACTGGTAGGGGAGCGATCGGTAAAAGGTGAGGTCTCTCGGCCAAATTAATTCATTTGCACTAGGAAACCATATTTAGGCCTATATTGTTTCAAGGAGCTATTGTCTGACTAGAGAAGGCTGCACTTGTAAAACAGGAACTAGTGGAGCATTAGGAACCACACCTACACTGGCGCTTAACAGACATATGTTGAATACGGCGCCTGCGGCTATTGCAGCCAGAATTGTCGCAGCACGAACTGCTATTAGGCTAAGGGAAACCGGGTCCTTTTGTGATATAAAAAAGGAAAAGAAGACGTTTATCTTCTGCAGCAAATGTTTTTATAGGGCATTTTCAAACACGTTACCTCACAAGAGATTGCGATGGGGGTTCTGACAGGCCATTGTGCGATTGGTATTCGTGCGGTGAGACTAGGAATTTCAACTGATCCTTTTGTATCAGCTGTCAAGAGGAAGATGAAATGGAATCATCTCCACACTTTCTTTTAGACAGTCCAACCTTCGCGAGGCTAAGATGCAAGCATTTTGCCTCGCACTCCTGAAAAAACACTGAGCTCTCAGGTATCGAAATCAGCCGCATTCGAAATGTCGTATCGGCTCGCGGCGTTAACTTCACCCAATCTAAGCTGTACTTCATTGAACTATGAAATAGTTGGTGACACTAGACATGAAGCACCTCGCATACAAAGTGCGATTTCCATATCGCTTATATCTGTTACCACTTCTAATAAGGTAATGGAATTTGATACCATATATATCGCTATAAATTTTGGTGGTGGACTTCAAAATCGTCATTCGCATAAAGGTGTCAATATTAATGACAAGCAAAATTTAAAAGTGTATGAAAAAAATGTCGAAGAATTTCGAAATCTGGGCGATACTAGTTCTTCTACATGTGTAAACGTCTTGTAACCGCATAAAACTCATAAATAAACCGGTTTTCTATGCGAAATTAATTGAGCTTATGAGATTTACGTGGTAACGAGGCAATTACGGGTAGTATTAAAAAAAATATTGGAATCGTTTTGTTTGTACCAACTCGTACTCACCCCTGCTCTCAGCTGACATCTCGTCTGCTATATCGGAACAATCACCTGTAATGAAGATGTTAGAAATAAAGTTAATTAAAAATAGTGCGAGATCAATATTACAAATATCTACCCCCATCTGTTATTTGACTATGTTAAGGATTATATGTTTGATATTATATACATTGACAAAGTGAACATGGGTTACTTAGCTAAATCGGGGCCAATGCTGTAAAATAACATATATACATATGCTTGTTTATACCGACACATAAAGCGCTTTGACCCAATTCGCTGTAAATCAAAACGGATGCATAAACCAAATTTCAATACGCTCAGATTTTAAAAGTGTATTGACTCGAATTTGTTTACAAATCGCTTTTTTATTTCTCACATCGCACACTGGCCGGAATGGATTTTTTTTGGCATAAATTCGAAAAATAAAGGTATCGTCCTCAAAATCGGTACACACGATATTCATGCTAGTAGCAAGTTAGGGTAAGAAGGTTGGGCCGATCAGATCATTATTACGCCCTGTCACCCTCCTCTGTATCATCTATACATAGTTTCAAGGAAAGTTGAGATTCTTTGTATGCGCTAATATCGAAAACTAGTGAACGGTTTTAGACGAGATTTTCTATAGTATACTCTGTATAGAAAGGAGAGTTACCGTTGGTATTTAGAATTTGTATAGGGTTGCCACCTGTCTAAAAAACTATAAGATACACACCGCTCGTTGGATTACAAAAAATTAGGTGTCAAATGAAAGGCATTGGCCCATAGAAAACTATTAATGTTTTTGTTTTTAATAGGGTTGCCACCACGATGCAGCGAAACAAAGGTGGCGCCTTCCGCGGACCGCTAATCCTCTCTTTCTCGATTTGACAGCATCCACCCTTTCGCTGACGTCACATTATACTTTTTTCGCACTAGTGATGAATATTAAATTTTCATATTATACCGAAAAGTTGTACCTAAAAGTAGATACACGTACCTAAACAGTAAACATGTATTTTTATGTGCATATATTTTTGATAGTTGGTGGACTACATCATCCTTCTGTACCATAACAACTTTTGGACTTACATGAAACAATATTTTACTACGTTCCAAATAATGTGCTTGTACCGATGTACGTTCAAATTGAAGGTGAAGAGTAGGTACAATTCAACCTAGTTTTACATCACTATTTCGCACCACTTGTTCGCTTCTTCCTCTTCTTCTTCAAAATTATTCTTTACACTCTCATTCTTATAATAATGTGACGTCACACCCAGTTGCGCTCAGCTCGATTGGCGCAATCTTGTATTCTATCATTCTTGGGTTGCCACCTATTAAGAAAATTACTATATTCAATCATAATAAGCGTAGGCATCAGTTCTGCACCGTCACTGTCAAATGAAACGACTTAGCCTCTAGATGTGCATTTACATATTATATTTCTTGGTAGGGTTTCCACCTGTTAAAACTCTACTTCAAATCGGCTATAATAAGCAAATACTTTCGAAGTTTTTATTCATAAGAACCACAAACAATTTTATTCATACGAATTTTATATACATACATATGTACATATATCTACGTATTTTTTGTTAATATTTAACATTCTTCTACCTCCAACTGAACATCAAATGGCTGCACAATGTCACATAAAGAATCAGCATCAGAGTCGGCGTCCGTTGAGCAATCTGATGTATTTAAATGGTCGGAATGCGGTTCAACGTTTGGAGCTTTCAAAAGTTCAATAACTTCTTTAGGTATTTTTTTCTTTTGATTTTGTTGTTGTCTCTTATTTAAAGATATGCTTGAAAGGAATGGATCAGAGGAATCCACTGCTCTTTGGAAGACGTCGGCCATATTATTAGTTCTACTATTTTGTCTAGCATGAGATCGCCTGTCGCTCTTATAATATTTATTGCGGGATTCTGAAGCACTTTCACCAAGACAGCCTAGGGGCACTACAGAGGCTGCGATGATTTGTGCACCGTGTATTAAAATTTTATGTAGAGTCGGTGACATCGGATACCACGGGTACTTTTCCATATACAACGAATATGTCTTTTCCGAGTACTGCTTAGACTTTAGGGCGCTAATCTCGTATTCACAAGAAATGGCGATCAAAATCATGTGAAAACTGTGGAGTAAGTCGGTGTCAAACCCTAATATTGAAGAAAATAGCGTAACATCTGAGAAAGCTCTTCTGGCAGTATTTCCATCATTCATGTTTCCGCTACCGCTCTGCTTTGGTCTATTCACATGAAGTCCCATTTCCGTCCATAACCGTTTTTGAATAAGTTTTTTACGGGCCTCAATAATTTTCTTATCATTTTCATCTCTTATTTGCCATTTTTTTACTTCAATCCTATATGACACATTAAGAACAAACTCCAAGGTTCTTATCCAAGCATGAACGGGCCTAATGCCATACTTCAGTTTATCAGGCCTTGCCTTAAAATGTGCAGAGTTTACGTCTTTTGTTTGCATGAAAGCTTTAGGTCCTGCTCCACAGATGGGACATAATTGACAAGTTTTAATACCTGACAAGATATTTAACACTTTTCCGTCTATTAGTCATATGGAGATCAAAGAACACCGTGACATTTCGGTTGCCAAAGTCTGTATAAATAAATAGCTTTAAATTTCCTATTTGTAGATCCAAGTCTTCTTTTTCCATTAAAATGTGCTCCCTTGTTTCCTTTATAAATTGTATTTTTAGTGGTCTGCAAAACGGCACAGACTGTGGAGTGGAATTATTCCAAATCACTCTTCCTGAAATTTCACTCAGTTTTAAAGGTATAATTGTGGTAACGAACAAAGATTGATCAAGAGCATACGGATCATTTTCAAATTTTTGTTTATAAGTGCTTTGGCAAGTCGACCCGTCAAATCCATAGCTCACAATAAGCCTAAGTTCAGCGATTTCAGGAAAACTAATGAAGACTTGTTCTTGTACTAAAATTAGGCGTTTGGCGGTGTGGTCCAATAAATTCTGCAATGAAACTTGAGCGACAGTTTCATCGATGCTTATTCCAAGGGGTCTGCATTTCAATTTAGCTTCCACAAGTCGGTCATAACTTGGGTATATATTGCAGTGTTGTTGTTTATTTAAAGCTCTCATGCTGTTATATTGTTTTTTAGTATATGAATTATCGAGCAAGAATGCAAGGGCTTCATCTGGAGTTATTGGTATTGGATCCTTTGAACAAAGCTTTTGTTTTAACCTTCTGGGCGCATTCGGTGACCTCACACATTCTTTTAAAACAAAGGCTACGCCTCTATTAGATTTTTTTGCTGATAACGTAGCGGCATGTACAAGTAGCGAAGTATCGTGCTCATTCGAAAGATCGCTAGCCAATTTCCGTTTCAATCGGGGTCCAGCGTCATTATAAGTTAAATGGGGTCGTCCTACATTATTGGGCTTTTTTGTATTATTATTGTCAACAATTATGACTATATTTCCAGATAACCACTGTGAATGCGTTACCTTCAGTCGATCCAATTGTCGATTGCATTTCCGTAAATTTAGTGTAGTAAAAGCGACAAAGTTTGCTACTTTTTTGCGTATTTCTCTTTCTTTATCAATACTTAAAAGAGATTTCCCAACTCTAGTAAAGATATACTCTGTTATCGCGTCTTTTTTCTTATTATTTCTACACCAAATAGTTAGAAGCTCTGCATGTGGAAATTCGAACTTCACTAAAAATGTAAAATTTTGTTAAAATGGGCAAAAATGAGCAAAAACTGTTACTAGGCCAATAAAATCTAATTATTAGTAAGCATTTTTTGTATTATTAGCTCGTCTAATAACTTGTCAGCTTGCTAGTTCTACTCCACGGAACACAAACATATTGTTACGTATTATTTTTTAAATATGCACTACAAATATATTAAATAAAAGCAACATTTAACACACACACGATATAACCATTAACTCACTGTATTGAACATACTTTGACCTTCATTATCCATATCTGATTTTCTTTCTTTTATAATAACACAACCGTTCACAAGACTTTAAAGTTTACTAATAATTTTGCTCCAAATCTGGCAAAATAACAGCTGGGACATTTTCTTAGTTGATATATGTACTTTTAGAAAAATAACTGATATCAAGAATATATTGCTATAAAAATCTTGAATTTATGCCAAAAAAATCCAATTTCGGCCAGTGTGCATCGGTTAGAAAACACCATATATGTAATACTCCTATATTGGCAGTAAGAGCTAGTACCGTCCGAAAACACTACAGTACAGATATATCAATAAACACGTACGAAAGAAAAGGAACACATACGTTTATAAATAAACATGTACACGACACATTTACAAAAACGGCACTCAAGTACACAATACATTGACAAAAACAGTACTAGACTGTCTCGCTCTGATTTCGGAATGCTTACACATTGAGAAGCTAGCTTACTGCCAATATAGAAGTATTACATATATGGAAAACACGAATAAACGCATCGCCCATTTAACGAGAAGTAAAGGCTGATTCACATACAACTTTCTTCGCTTTGCTTGATAGTTCTTTGCTTTGACATATAAGATCGCTGTAGCCATATGCATGAGTATGCTCACATAAAAAACGTTTGAAGCAAAGCAAAGCAAAACGAAGCAAAATCTTGGGCAACTCTCAACTTTTGCCCGCTTTGGCAATCAGCTGTCTACATGTATCTTTTCTCGTGCGCTTGCATTTGCATTTAATAACAAAAATAGGGTAAATAGTAATTTTTATTGCTATTATTAATGCATATTATTATATTATTAGTGTTAAAAATATGGAGGAAAAGGAGAACGCAAAAGCTGCCAAAGCGTTTATTGTAGCATACCTTCTGCGCTTCACGCTTTGTTGTCAAAGTTTGAACTGTCAAGCAAAGCGAGGAAAGTTGTATGTGAATGGCCCTTAAAAGTCGGCTGGGTTTCTTTATACGGGCTGTTTCAAATTTGAATTATTTTTACATAAACTAAAAAACTTTAAGATCTGCTCGGTTCGTTGGATTACAAAAAGTGAGGTGTCAAATGAAAGCGATCGGCCTCTAGAAAAGCACTACCCTCTAGATGTATAATAATGTATTATACATCTGAGTAGGGTTGCCACCTTTTTAAAAACTATAAGATCTTCACCGTTCGTTGGATAAAGAAAGAGATACCAAATGAAAGAGCATAGCCTTCGCATGTATAAAAACTGTAATTTTTTGAGTAGTGTTGCCACCTATTTTAAATTACTATCTTCTATACATAGTATAAAGGAAAGTCGAGATATTTTGACCACTCTACTGAACGGATTTAGACGAGATTTTTTAAATATATAATAAACGAATTACATGATGACATATGACCAGTATGTTTGCATGTATGTATTTATATAAAAAAAATTTTATTTGTTTTAAAAAGGTGGGTAGGCACTGTGGCCAATGGCAAAGTTCGTTTACCACCTCTGCATGGTTGTAAACCATGCCCTACCACCATACGGTAGAAGAGCTGGGTGACAGGTAATAAGGTCAATGGAAATAAGGTCAATTGACTTAATTTCGCACCAGGGTGGAAATAAAATCCATTGACATTATTTCTCTTTCAAACATTAAATTTGTTTAGCTTCACACTACGCCGCGGACCTCCTCAATATGGTACCTCATAACTAAGGACAGTTACCAGCCCTGATTGGAAGATTTCTGCTGTCTTTTGGGACAACAACTTGTCTGCAGTAAAAAAGCATATAATTTGTGTTTCAAAAGTGTGTGAAAACTAATCAATTTACTTATATGATCTCGGTTCCGATATTAAATAATCAATAATTGTTTATACCCGCATTTTGGCTCGTTGAATGTGCCATCTAATAAATAGTGTCGTCGTTCTCCTTAGCTGCTATTAAATGAAGTCGTCACAAATTGCTGGCGGAGACATGAATACAGTGTAAGAAAATTCTTTTTCTATAATTGTTTTCTTATAGAAAGGTTGGTTTCTTTTCCACCTTAGACATTCTGAATTCGTTCAAAATATGCTAATTTAAAACACAGAATTCTTTCAGTGTTTCTCCGGGGTTTTTGAACATGGACTGTTTCTTCAATTTAATAGTGTTTGCTTTATTTTTGTGGAAACGAAACGTGTTTTGCAAGTTATGGATCATTTCTACACTCTTTCTTCAAATATTTCTCGTATTCCAGCTGTGCGCAGGCGTTTAGTTTTTCGCATCGTGTTTTTACATATTCGTAATTTAAATTTTTTTAATAAAATCAAATGGTGGTAGTTCATGATTGTGTGTGGATTAATATCACAACACTGATGATTTGGCAATCACCTTTTTCATCTATTAAAAAACAACACTTACGGGGCAATGTTTATTGTAAGAACAACATTTTTTTCTATGAATCGAGATACTTTAAGTATTGTTGACGCTATTTCCATTTGAATGAGGAAATAGCGTCAATGACTTTATTTCCAAATTTTTGTTGACTTTATTTCGCTTTTGAAAAGGTAATAATGTCAATTGACTTCATTTCGCACCATTTGACCTTATTACCTGTCACCGAAGAGCTGAGAGCCATCCAGGGAGCGATCTTAAAGGCGGTCAGGAGCAGTCACGATAGTGCTGTAAAGCCTCAAAAAGCTCTAACAAGGGATCACAAGAACACAATCGGCACTCTGAAAAGACCTGCAGACTCTTGCTAGGTACTAATTTCACGGGCTCTACATTATGCTACTGTCGACCAGAAGTTGGTGCCCCAACACCCACTTTCGGAATGAAAATAAGCCTTGCTACAAAGCACACCACTGTAGAACGTGTGCGGGCTCTATCAACATTTAGTCCATACCAATCGCCAAGACCAGATGGGGTCTATCCATGTCTCCTTCAACATCGAATAAACTAGATAGCCCCACTCCTCTCCAAACCTTATAGAGCTTCGCTCTTGCTGAGTATTATTCCCAGCAGATGGTCTGAGGTTAAGGTCGTATTTTTACCAAAACCATGTAAGCCGCCGGCCGCTGTGGCGTAGTGGCAAACAGTGCGCGCTTCCACTCTGCAGCACCTGGGTTCAAGCCCTGGTCAAAGCAACATCGCAAAAAAATATAAAAAAAGGTTTTATCTTAACCTTTAACTGTGGAGGTAGTGGTAAAATTTACCCCCCGCAACTTTATCTTTCAAGGAAGGTTGACCTGTATTTTTTTAAATTAAATTTTTTTAATACGATCTCTTTTAGTTCTTTAAACATATATTTGGCTATGAAAAGATGTCCCTTAAACTTTTGATTAATATTTATTTTATACTTTTTTTTTTATAAATTTACTATATGATGTTTCCGTTCTTGTGAATAATAAAATCCTTGTGAAATAAAGTGGGAATTTTGTTGATTTTAAAAGAAAAAATAAAAACTTGTAGTTATTTTAACTTAAAAATCTAGTACCTTAGTTGAAAAGAAAAAAAAATTATAAAATGACCAATTTGTATTCAAATTTCTAACTAAAATTCGAAGGTGTAAAATTTACTACCAGGTCACAGACTACGTCCAAAAAA